AAATTTTAACACACCCTTGAGGTGTTATACTGTAAGATTTGTCATGTTTGGTTAGGTAGAAGTATGCACCACTACATCCAGCCATGCCAAATCAGTACTTTCCTCAGTACAGCCATTTTCAGCCCAGTTCCTCTCAGATTGTTTACCAACTCATAATGATATTCATTTTATCAGATTGCCCTTCCTAGTTTGCAATTATAAATCGGCTGGGGCAAATTGAATTAAATTGCAAAGTAGGGAGCCTTTTGAAGCCTTAGCGGCTTCATCATGGTGATGAAGTTATTCAGTTCCTTTAGTATTCACCGCCAGTCTCTGCAAACATGTACCCAGAAGTGTCAGAGTCTGTTTAGTTTGGGAGCTCACGAGTCTGCCACACAGCTGTGTCCACAGTCCCTGTATCTTGCTCTGGCTGTCAGCTGATATATTTTTGGCATTTGAAGGCAATAGAGGTGGCACGTTAACATGAAGCATGGATGAGACGAATAAGAAAGCAGTTCTTCTTTGCTGTTGGTTTGTCATTAGGTTTAAGTTGGATAATAGTTTCCCGAGATACAAAACAGACTCTATGGCCATGCTAGCAGCTCTTGAGACTGTATGTAGGCACTGCAATGCTTTGAGCTAATCATTAAGATTAACATGCTAACATAGGTGCACAATGATGATGCTGTCGTGTAGAGGTTTAACTGGTAATGCTCACCTTGTTCGTCACCTTGTTTTAGCTTGTATGCATGTTGACATTAGCTAGTTAGCATTTAACACAAAACACAGCTGAGGCTATGGGCATACCACTAGCTCTGGAGGGATTTAATTATAAACCAAAGCATGCCTTTGTTAAAAAATTTGACCTGGTGATGGCACTAGATGAAGTTCGAAGGGAGACAAAAACTAAATACAGTATGGGAAAATTTGACCTGGTGATGGCGCTAGATGAAGTTCGAAGATGACCAAAGGGAGACAAAAACTAAATACAGTATGACAGCTGAGGCTATGGGCATACCACTAGCTCTGGAGGGATTTAATTATAAACCAAAGCATTTGACAGACTGAAAATTTGACCTGGTGATGGCGCTAGATGAAGTTCGAAGATGACCAAAGGGAGACAAAAACTAAATACAGTATGGAGCTTGTGGAGCATTTGCATGCTTTTTTTGCATCGTGACAGCCAGGGCAATGAGTAGATTCCTCTCATGGGAGAACGTTTGTACTGGAGCTCTGATCCCACTTGACCATGTGACTGGGTTCACAAGCAGAGTGTTAGCCATGAGTCTCTTTGACGTGACACAGGTTCTTATGTTCAGAGCGAGACAACGACTGTTGTCCCCTGTAAACCATTATATATGCAGGAAGTGGTCACATAATGTCGTCACCATGCAACACTTCTTAGAGTTGCTCTGGCAAGAGTCATTTGGAGAAGCTGTGCACACAGAGCTCCTCCACCTGGCGAACCGATTGTCGCTCTGGGGTTTCAGCTTCAATGAAATAGGCCCATTGAGTATAATAGTTGTGTATATGCTCAAACAAGTAGTATTTTCAGTCGTTGAAATCACAGAACGGCATCTGCGAATGAGATTTCCCATGTTTAGTAAGTGCCACTTAGAGTGCATTTAACCTCGGCTTTTCTCGGTTCGGTTCTTAGTTGTTTTGTCCGTGTTGTTGTGTTCAATATTCTCTGGTTCCTATCCCATAATAAGCTGCCATACAGTTTGTCAGGGTTGGGCTACCTGAAAAATGAGATATAATTGTTGCCCGGTTTTTGTCAAATTAGTCCAGTTATGCAGTGACTGAGTCTTCTCGGCTGCAGTGTGTTTGCCCTAAAGGCCCCCCTCTCTCAGTCTCGCAGCCTGAAATGCATTGTTTTCCATGTGGCTTATACAGTACAGCCTGTCACCTCTAAGCAATAGAAGATACAATTACAGCCACAATCTTATACTGCAGAGCTAATTAGAAGAAACTGGATAACAAGAATGAGGCTGTGGAATCTAATCAATGCTAAGGCAAAGTCACACCAAAGTTGGCATGCAACTTTTAAGACAGATTGTCAGATACATTTTACTTGTCCCTCCAGTCTTCTTTACAAAAGTATCCCACTGGCCCACCGTTAAAGAAGAGAGGAGGGAAATGAGCAGGTTTCCACTTCACTCCTTCAAAGTAGTAACTGTTATTTGTGAAGTTTATGGCAGTTTGGCTGCAGGGGGAATTTGGCTGAAGAGCTGCTGTTTGGGGCTGGGTATGTCCGAACATCTGTTCTCTGTACTTTGTTTGTAGACACGGCCAGCCCTGCTCAATCAAACTGTAAAAGCAGCACCTCGAGTCTGGCTGAGTGTTTGCATTCAGGGCTTGACAGAAAAACCGGATGACAGGGCCGCGCACGGTGATTAAAAAGTACTACTTCTCATTTAGCCTGATGCTTACGTCCATGCAGGGGTGTTTAGACTGAGGCCCCAGTTGAACCTGCCTTGAACGCTGCTTCAACTGAGGGCAGAAATGACACAGTGCCTTTTATTTGGTGCTACGTCTTCAGATGCATCAATGAGTGCGGACTCCTGCACCTACACCTCACGCATTCACAAGCCCAATCAGGTTCACGGAGGAGGGGAGGCCTGCGAGACAGGATAACTAATCAGGTGACACCAGAATGACTGGTTTTCTTGGCCCATCATGGTGACACCTTAAATTCCAGTTTATTCCCAGTGGGAACAGCCTGCCTTAGAGATTATTAGCTTCTGGGCTTCAGCTGAGTTTTTTTTTGCCTTTGTTAGTACAGTAGTTAATTTTTTTGTGCCTTTGGCTCTACAGCATATTGAGGTTTAGAAGGTTTTAATAATTAACCTTAAGTTATTTATCAGCAAAAATGCCAAATATTTGATTGCTCCAGTATCTGAAATTTGATTTGCTTTTTTGTTTGCTTTCTCTGTTTTAATATCACTGTAGTGGAATAAATTAGGGTTTTGGACTGTTGGACTCGCCAAAACAAGCACTGGACTAGTACTCTACAAATGACAAACTGTTGAGTTTAAGCAAAAATACAAAAAAAAAAAAGAAGAAAAAAAGAAAAGGTACTGGCTCCAGCCTCTAAAATGTGAGCATTTTTAAAAATCTTGTATGACAGTTAATCAAGACAATTAATAAGAGATGAACTGATAATGAAAATAATATTAGCTGCAGCTCTAAAAATAATTTAATGGAAAGAGAAAATTGCAGGGGGACGTATAGCCCCAGCTTTGCCTGACTTATTGTATTAGTGAGCCCTTACTATCTACTGAATTTCAGCTCTTGGAAATCCCCATTTGTGTGGCAGCTGATAATGCTAAATATAAGGCCTGGCTTTGCTCTGCACCTTTATCAAGGCTAAACGTGATGACGCTACTCATCACGTGACACTCGGACTGCTGACTGGCGGATTGATCTGGAGGGTAACATGTCTGTTTCAAGCTGCTCTGTGGGACTATTTCTGTTTTCTGTTTGGTTTGGGGTGTGAACATGCAGATGGATCTGCAGCGACATGTAGGCTAAATATAC